CTGCATTTGGTTAAAGTCGACTGCCTCGTAAGAGGGAACAGATTTCCACACCTCCTTAATTCTAGCTTGATACAAGATGTTTTCAAAATGGAGATTGCGTTCTGTTTGTTGTATGTGCCAGCCATTTGAGTGTGTCCGTGTGACGTAACACCACTCTAATAAACCTTCAAGAGCGTGGTCTTTTATGTGGTTCACACTGTCACGGCAGAGCCATCATGTCAAGCAATGAATTAAGTTTGGCATTAAGCCATGTGACTTGTTTTGGTAGTAATCCATCAATCCAGTCCCGAGGTAGTTCAGAGTATCCAACTTTACACCCCAACATGGCGCCCGCTACTGTCCCATTACAGGTGGCATGGCCTCCCTGCATCACAAGCTCGGTTATTGTTGTCCTGTAGACAAAAGAAGACCCTTCTTGTAATATTACCGCAGATTACCCAAGCCCTCTTTAAATGAGGTACTTCATGGTTCGCGCATCTTGAAAAGTTTAGCCTAAATTTTTCTATTTCGTCGTTTGAAATCTGTGTCAATCTTTTCCAATCCTAACTTATGGTTTATTATTATCTCTTTGGTGTTTTTCCATCTTAACAAACTACTATTTTCAGGTTTCCTTCAATTCAAAGATAGTTCAGCACGCGGCCAGACCAACTCAAAATACCGTGACTGAGCTCCTTTAAGTGTAGTCGTAAGACTAAAAGAATGCGAAATAAAATCGCTTTTTCATTTGTCTGTTCAATTAGTTCAAGAAATATGAAAACAGTATGCTAATTGAGAGTCGCTCATGTATCATTACTAACGGTAACTCATATTTTGCTAGCCTCCATTTTACACAGTAAATCAAAATGAAAAGAATGATACTCGTGTGGAATGTATCTTCGTACTTGTAATCTTTCATAGATCTGAGTGCGACCAAACCAGCTCCTAATGGTTTCAAAGTGTAATCTGTCAGCCTTGGTTCACAGAATTCCACACTAAAATGGAATAAACATTTCATTAAAATCAACTTGACATACGATCTTTTCTTACAAGATAACAGCATATCCCCAAATTCAGTCCGTGTACAACCCAGGTTTAGCTTGGGAACAAATTCTCAGTGGGAATTCGGCGAGAGGGCAAAGCGCGTTCTCTTAATGCACTCAATGTAGATACCAGCCCCTCTCAAACCTCTTGTTAATGTGGTGCTAGCGAGAACACAAACCACGGTAAAATGCATAACTGAAGCAATTTTCAAGCCACCAACTTTACCACAAAGAACTCCTTTCACTACATATTTGTGTACTCAGCATTTCTGTAGGTACCATGCCCATGCTATGTACTTCGACAGCTGAGGTCAGTGAATTGCTTTAAAACATCTACCAACACACAGAACTATCACATAGTATATCAACCACCACCAGTTGATGGTTGGCTGGCAAGTTGGCTTGTATTACAGAGCTTAAGTCACAAATCCACCAATCCAGCATCTAGCTTTAGTACACAATCTTGAGCCCCCAAGCTATTCCATAGAAAATAAAACAGAAGTTGTGAAGAGGAAACTTACTCTTCCCACGTCTGGCAATTAAAATAGTGGTAAAAATCCTTTTGATGAAAAGATTCCATTAAATGAAGCTTTCCCTGTTCTTTAGCTTTCTCTAGCATTTCTTCCAGAGAAGACTTGCTTGTCAAGTCATGCTGTCCCTGTAAAAGAAAACAAAACAGCTTTTAAAAAAAATTGGAAGTTCTACATAGTGTTTAGAGCAATGCTGGGTAATGATAAACACTGAGAGCCTAATCACAAGCTTGGAGCATTCTACATTACTTGTCATTCAATAAAATAGTGGGTACAACCCACCTGGGACTCTACAGATACTACAGCAAAGGTTACACTGAAATTAAATACCTGCAACATCAATGCGATGATAATGCATACAGCAACACAGCTTGCAATGCATCTAGCAGTTCAAAGCAAAACCACTTATTAATTAAACATAAAATCTTGTAATCTTGTAGAAAGCCTAATCAGTAATGGTCAGTACCTACAGATCAGGATTTAATGCTACTTGGGTCCTTGTGTTGGCTCAAAATTGGCTGAATTGTTACAAGGTGAGAAAATCTGTCAGGCAGCAGTTTTTTCAACATATACAGCTGGGTAATCTTGGATTTCATTGTCAACAGTAGTTCTGACTGCCTAAAGCATTTTCTAGTCTGTCTAGTGTGATTGTATGGGTGAGGGTAGTTTTGGGAAAAGAAAAAAAAACTGTTGTTGTGGTTACTCAGACAATCACAGTAAACTATTGATATTCCTGGGTTCAAGCCATTTACTGTAAAACTTTTCTTTAAGCAATCCTTGAACCCTACTCACCTGGGATCACAGTGAGTAGCCTTGCATATCCTTACAGCATTTGTTGCTACTTCATTTAAGTCATGGAAATGAGCAATACCAAGAGCTGCTACTCTCATTACTGCTCCATTAGATGGGGATTCTAACTTGTTTGCCACTGATCTGGCTGCACCATGAGGATCACTCAGAAACTCTGGATCACACACAACCTACGGCAGGATTATTACAGAAAATACTGCAGTACATCAAATATTTTAGAAGAATGGTAGAACATGTTACCAAAAGAAGGAGCATGATGTCAGAAAGGCCAAGGCTTACTCCAGCTGATGGATGAACAAAAAGCGGCTCCATGGCTGAAGAGGCCAGAAAGAAAAAAGAAGGAGGGGGGCAATGAACTTGGATTTCTCAACGAGCTGTTGGGGAGATTGGTTGCATAATAACTCGGTAGAACATTACCTTGGCAAGAACACCCCTCACCCCTCGCCCCACGGTATCACCCAGTTCAGGAAAGCCATGTTTGCACCAGGAAAGGAGGCTCTTAGCAAACTCCAGTTCATCAACAACACCAGCCCAGTGAATGATGTTTTCAAGGATTAACACCTAAAACCAAAGCAAAACAGAGTTAAATTTCAGGAAAACCTTGATAATTTTGCACTGTACATTTTGTACCACTATGTATTTGTACAAGTTTGTTAACCAGGTTGCCATAGGTGAGCCCAACTTCTATAACAATCACAACCTGTGCCACTACTGTACTTCTCCCCAGACTCACGATTGCCCTATCAAACAAACCAGCACCAATCCCAGAAAAATGCACGCCAGGCAGAGACTGGTTTTAGTTTGGTTGAGTAGAATGATGCAGTTGGCATGCAATGGTAAACCAAAATGGTATATTCTAGTATTATAACAGCAATATCTAAGCAATAGTTCTGCAGCTACTTATGGCAATTTATTCCCTACTCTGTGTATTCAGGGTATACTAATGAAGAAACAACATGCATTCATGACCACTCTGTGAACCTGTAGGTCAGGTTCACACAGCCTTCTGATGAGTTTTCTCACATTCCCACTTTTAAGTATACAAGTCTATGTAAATATTTGCACATCTTATTAATCTTGTTAAATTAACTTACTGTTTGGTCAAATGAGTCTGTCCAATCTCCTTTCTGCCACTTACTTCTGTGCCTGTCTTTAACCATGTGCTCCCAGGATAACATATCCTTATCATAATGAAAACGGCACTCATCAGGCATCATAAACTCTGTACAGAGTCCAATAGCATCACCGATCGCTGCACCATATAGACAACCAACTATCTTGTCCACCAGCTCATCCGGAGGAAGGTAATGTGCATTTGGTGGTGGCCTAAGAGGTGTTTTAATGCGACTGGTAGCATTTGTATTTGTCTGTGTTTGAACATACTGTGCCCTAGCAGTGTGAGGGTTTGTGGGAGCAAGCACCAAAACATCACCCCTTACACGAGGAAACTCATTTCGTCTTATGACAAGCTTTTCATCAGGTTCTTTAGGATTTTGATTCCGCAAATAAGCCAAGACTGTTTCTGAGCCCTGATTGCAAATCTGCTGTGGCGGACATTTGCATTTGTTAAAGATTGCTAAGATTAGTTTCAGGGAGTTTGACTTTCCTAAAGTCAAAGGAAGTGACTCCAGTTCGTTATAACTGACGTTCAAGCTTTGAAGTGACTCCATATTTCCCATAGTCTGTGGCAAACATTTCAATTGATTGTGTGACAGATCAACTTTCTGAAGTCTTGCAAGCAAACAAAATGTTTCTGGAAGTTCTTGTAATCTGTTGTTGTTTAACAGCAATGTCTTCAAGTGGAACAAGTAACTAAAAGAATCTGGTAAATACACCAGGCGATTGTGGCTCAGATCAACAAATGACAGATGAGGAAGGTAGATGGAAAATTCAGAAGGGATGTAGGTGAAGCAGTTGAATGATGCATCAAACTTTTCGTAGAATGAGATGTTGGTCAGCAACTCCACTGGATAATCAACCAGTGCATCTGGACTGTCTTGTTTCAGATGCTAAAAGTATCATGAAAAAACAGTTACCTCTCTAGTGATTAATTATTTTGAAATTGAACTTGTGATTCCCATGTCCTCAATATTCACGACAAAGACCACTATTTTATCTGTCAGAATAAATTTTAGGGTGCACTCAGAGAAATAATAAAAAAATGCTCTGGCTTATTTCCGTTTTTATGCTTGATTTCTGCCGGCCTCTTAAGTCTGATTGGATTANTATGCTTTACTTCTTAATTTTGAAACCCAATAATTATTATGAAAGTTCACAGTTCAAATATATGATCTTTCATCTATTCACTTGACGTATTCTTCACCATCTATGGATATATTACGAACTCACAAAGTGACCAGCTCCCAGTTGGCTTGATAGCTCAGTTGGTAGTGTTGATATCGCAGAGGTCATGGGTTCGAAATACCATTCAGGCCGGAATTTTTTTCACCCTTTGATGTGCATAAACTGCGATGGTCAATCGTGTCGTCATATCTTTCTCCGCAATTTAAATATATGATCTTTCATTTATTCCGTTGTTCGAAACTCATCTTATTGTCACAGTTGCGTGATCGGGTAGTTCTGAAGTTTGCATTAGCATTTCGCCACTGCCACACGTACACATGAACGAAAATAATATAACTAATGTCTGTTTACAATTGCGTAAAGATGGACATGTAAAAAAATAAATAAGCACGCCATAAAAGTACACAATTTGACAATAAACAACTGCTGACATCAACTAAAAAGTAATTATTAAGAAACACTGTAGATAAGTGTTGATCCTCTAACCTGTTGATACTCCTCATATCCCAGTGATCGACTGATGTTCAGCTCACGAGAACTCAATCCCTGGAGTTGACCCACGTTAATTTTGGCGCTAGATTCCAAGTTTCCCATTTCATTATGATCCACTACTTGGGATGAATTTCGTGGTAGATTACTACGTATTCAATAGACAGCAAACTCACGAAACATTTAGTTTTCCTCCCCTACCGACCCTTATACAGCTCACTGTTCATGTTTTATTAATTATCGCTGTCCCGAAGTGAGAAAGTGAGCCATGGTTGGGAAGTACCGCTGAAACGCATGAAGCTCTCATTCTAACAAAGTTTTTGATTGGATATAAATTTGTCGAGCGCAAGGGTCCTCGGCAAGAACCAATCAATATCTGCCTTATATGAGGTACCTTTGATCGGTGATTCATCAACAAAAACATGGCTGAAAAGGAGATGAACGGTATGCAAGGGCAATTTTTGGGTGAAAGTGTGGGTCTAAGTTAGAGTAAATTAGGCTTCGACTCGGGAGGAAGATGTATCGTTCAAGATATTTCAATTGTTTTTTTTCGTTTTCGTAATTTTCGATTAAAAAAAAATTAATGCGGTGGTTATAAAACTCAGCTGATTTTAAGTTTGTCTAGCATAGTAAATGTTTAGGCTTTCACACTTCTACCTTGAGATCTCTTTGTCTTGGTGATCAGCTTGGTTTTGGATGAGGATTACACTGCAACCTTTTTCCTTCTTTGAAGAATAGTTTGACTTTAAGAGATTCAATCGTGCAGCCAGTATTTTTGACCCCCATGTGATCAAATTGTCAGACGCAAGCTTGATCTTTGGTACGGTATCTTTAATACGTTTATCAAGAACTTCATGGCAAACAAGATAACCAGCTGCAGTGTCCATTTTACTGTTTCTCTTTCCATGAGTATAGCTGCATTCATATTTGTAAATTCATTGAATTAAAACACTTTTTAAATTTAATCCAATGAAATTCCCATGTTTCATTGTTAATTATTAATAATTGATTTTAGTATTTTATTTGAACAAACATTTCAGATGAAAAGCCAGAAGTAAATGAACAGGGAGATAAAGAGGATGGCAGCGATGATCTTGATTTCGAGGATGCAAGGGAAGGAAATGATGATGTTGATGAAAATGCTGATAATGAAGTTGATGACGATGAACAACTTATGGTGATAGAAACACCAGAGGGACTGACACTTGTAGAGCCTGCAGAAAACTCATCTTTTTATATTGTGCAAGAACATGAAGGACAGGAAACTCCACCAGGTACTATTAAGTGGGTTATGCAGTTTAAGCTTTTTTAGAATCTCATGGTTCAACATTCTACTGCTTCACTTCTGTATCCATAGCAACTGGACGAGATG